GGATACACAATTGTGAATTTCGAAATGAATATCTATCTTGAAAATTATAAAAGTAAGCGAATTTATTAGAATATTTACAGCTTTATATTTCGGGTAAATTTATAATTTTTACATTTTTCAAAATACGACACATTGTTTTAAAATCGATCCGTAAAAGAAGTATACAATTGTAAATGTAGAATTTTAATCCTCTTACAAAAATAATAATGTTATAAAAAATAATTTTGACATTGTCTCTGAACACACTACAGAGATGACCATTCCACTCTCATCGCATTGTCTGATAATTGATATTTTTATATTAGATTAGCATACGTTTTATAAGATACAATTTCGTTCTAATCCGCATACTATGTCCAGAAGTTCACATTTTTACTGACTACAACCGTTGTACAAGCTTCATGTTACACTGAGCGTGTTTTTTATTACATTAATACTGTAAGTCTTATAAGTTTTGCCATTGAGAGTGAATATTATAATTTTTATATTCTAATTTTTTAAATATTTTCATCGTTTTAGTTTTATATTATAACATTGATAATGATCCAACAGGGATCGAAACGTCTGTTTTGTTTTGTTTATATTTTATTGTTTATTACCGGCAAATTAAATTTTATATTATAACGAAATGACATGTTTTTATTCTGTGACTTCTTAATAATTTCAATGTTATAACGACTAATTTTTAGGCTCGTAGCTCTTTTTCGTTCTGTTCTTTTATAAATTTATTGAACTTTATTATTATTATATTTTAAAAATAATAATGTTATAAAAAATAAGAATGTTAAACGGTCTTCAAATTTTATTAAACTATACAGAAAAATTAATAATAAAATGTATATATAGCCGCTATCTTATTGTTTTATGTATTATATTCTTTAGTCGATATATGATTTTCAACAAAATGCTTCTTCATTTTATAAGATAATTGATAATAACCTTTTATTATTATTTTACAGTTAAAATGTTCCTCTTATGACATTGGAAAAATGGAAAATCTATTCCAGTTAATATTTTTGTATTTTAAAACACATAGAAGTCTGATATTTTTACTTTTACACACACTTATTTTATATCCATTATTATTTTAATTATTTATCACAGTTATTGTCAATTATCTTTTAATAACAAGATTGAAATAATGATTTTAATTCATTTATATTAAATTGTAAACATCAAATATAAGCGTGAAAAACCCAGTTTACATTGTGCACTTGATACGGATATACATATACTAATTATAGTAACTTTCTATTGCATTATCTTAATTTCAACGATAAGTATAATAAACATATATACGATATGAGTACTTAATTATTTTGATACATACATTGTACCAATTTAATACATCACTCTTTAAATACGTTCCTGAAATTAAGATAATTTAATAAAGAGTTAATAATTAATATTGTACAATGTTAAAAATGGAGCATAATGCTCGATACAAAAGGGGTCAAAGAGATCTATACTGTATTCATATAATATTGCAAGATATGATATAATATAGTTATATTACGATGAAATCTTTTATTCAACAAAGTATAAAATTCAGTTGTTAATAACATTACTTTAAATACGAAGCGCCACTACAGTCTGAATGTTAGACGTTGAACTATTATATACATATTCATATTAAATGAATTAATTTCAGAAATTATAAGTTGTTAATGTTTGATGCAACAATTCAAAAACCTTAGTAGGGACTAGACTTATTTCTAAAAACTATAGAAGTCAAGCAGAATGTTAAAAAGCAGAAGCCAATCAAAAGTTGAGAGAAAATCTTGAAAAACGAGGATATATATATATATATATATATA